TAATCGATATAATCATGTTGATAAAGATGATCATTATGCATTGCATAGCAACAAGACTAATCAATTTAATTTAATAAAAAATAAAAAATATAAAAAAAATTTATATTTATTAAAAAAAATACAAAAATTTTATTTTTATTGTATAAATCATTTATTGAAATTAAATTATCATAGAATCATAGAAACAAATGAATCCATGTAAGTGTTGGTTTTTGTTGTTGTTGTGTTTACCTTTATCTCTATGATACTTAGATGATATGGTTTGTATATGTATATATATCCTAGAACTATCAAGTAAAGAATGAAGTTGTTAGGATACTTTAATTCATTCAAGCTGAAATATTCTATACGAAAGAAGTACTGTTGAATGCCCAGCTTAATTGTATAGAGATTAGGCATTCATGTACAGGACAGAGTGCTCTAGGTTCGATTGTGATTCTAGACTACTATGGAATTCATTTATGAGATTATACAATCATTTAATACTTCTAGGCTTCCGATGATGGTCTAACTTAGAACGATTCATAATTTCAAGGAAACTACAAAACATGATATCATTGTATAGTGGATTAATCTCGTTGTGCATATATCTCTGTGAATATACTAGGTAATCTCTGTGTAAAGAATCTTTTAAGATTGTATCTATTGATCAATCGAAATCATAAATAGCAGATTAAACTTTTACTCATGGGGATCGTGGATGTGCACTGCTGATGAGTCCGACAATAGGACGAAACGACCATCCAATGCTTCCAGGTTTCTAACGGGGGTCTAACATCTTAATAAAAAAACTAAATAATCTTAACAACCCCTGAACTAATTTTTTCCCAAATAATCATTTCATTATCCATACTATTCAATTCATAAGTTCGTTACTTTTATTTAATTATACCCCTTTTGTTATGATGGGTTTTATTCGAAATCGAATACTGATACACAACGTGCTACACATTCAAACCCCAGTCTTTAGAAAACCAATTCATTTTTAACCAATAATATACACTTGTCCTTTAGGTTACCTCTGATTCCTATCGATTGACCTTTTCATTTGGCTACTTCTGTCTGGCTTACCATAACACTTTTATTAAGAAAGGGTATTATGAAGACTATTTAGTTTGAAATTCACGTGATGCATTGCTATTATCAGAAGGGGTTTGTAGAGATTTTTAGAAGTTTTCACAGATTAAAATCATGAGTCAGTTGAAGCTAGACCACCATTGAAGACCTGGAAGCACTGGACGGCCGTTTCGTTCTAGTATGGGACTCCTCAGCAGTGCTATTAGTTATAAAAAACATTAAAACCTGGGAAACATTAGATGTCCTTTTCGTCTGAATATGGTACTGTCTAACAGTATCCAGGATTGTTGAAGCCTATGAGAACAGTTTAACTATTAGACCAATAAGTTGACCTCTAATATTTCACATTTCTAATTTCAATCCGAAACCGATATTACCAGTTCATTAGAGTTCAATCTTGTTGGATGTAAGGCAAATATCACAAATGGTCTTGAATAGTGTCCAGATAATATCTTGAGTGGACTAGTGTTAGAAATGTTAATGACAGAATGTTTACTTAGATATTCTTTATGGTTGTTTTTTTCTCTTGACCATCAACAATGTTCTTTTGATATTTCTATCTGCTTCCACTTTCTCGTTATTGCTAAAATAAATTCTGTCAATTTAAGTTAATACAATTTATTGAACCATATTTAACCATTAATAAATGATACCGTACCTTTGTAGTTTTTAAAGAGAATATGGGATATATCATATGAATGATAAAACTGTCAACAACAATTTGCATCAAAATGATATCTCTGAGATTACTTATAGTCAACAAAGTAGAAAGCTTCGCTACATTTAAGTGATTGACAATAGAGTGATCATAGAGAGATCATCAACCGATTGATTTTAGATCACCATTGAAAACCTGGAAGCATTGGACGGTCATTTCGCTCTATTGTAGAACTCCTCTGCGATCTCGCTCGCTGGATTTAAACTTAGCGCCTTCAGTTCCCCGCGGGAGCGCTTAGACACTAGACCACCGATCCGGTATCAAACGGCTTTAATGTTCAACCTCAACCAATCCACAAAATTTACGCGATCATCTTTCATTATACTGAGATAGATACCTGTCTCTACTCGACACGGATTAGCTCCACTGGTCACGGCTTCTCACTAGAAGTCCGAGAATTCCCTCATGAACTTATTCATTAGCGAGTACATGGTAATCATCACTAAAGTGTTTGAATCCCCCGAGTGGGATCGTGGATGCTCACTACCACTGAGGAGTCTCACAATAAGGTGAAACGGTTGTCTAGTAGTTTCAGGTTTTCAATGGTGGTCTCACATCTATCGATTCATGATCGCAATTAAAAACCTAATAATCTTCACAACTCTGTACGGAAGTGATCATTATTTGGGATGAATTCATATGAAAATTAAATAGTTCAGTGATAACATCTCTGATCATTATATTAAGCAACATACCCAGTACTAAATACATAGATGGGGTATTGGTTCCTTTGCAATTACAAAGACTATTTGAAAACAATTGTCAGTTAGTATGAATATTAAAGTAAACAATACTTTTTGGTGATACTCTTCAACTATCCAACATTGAATATTAAGTCACTTAAAGAAGTTATCATAATGAACCCTTTCTATGTCTACCTGTTCAATATCACTAGCCTGTACATTTCAGCTACGATGTAGGACCAGGCAGATATATACATCTATCCAAGTTACCATACCACATTAGCACAAACAAGATAAAAGAAAGATATCAAGCAATTATAATCTCACTGTTTGCGGGAAGACAGAGAGTGTACACACCGACGCCATTCTGATCGATTCCCAGCCATGTCACACAGAGTCACCAAGCATTGAATACGATAGTCACACGGACCCCAAACAAGTAGTCTGCATCTGCCATCATGGCTCAGACCAGAAATTAGTGATTTCAAGTACTGATGCCATATTTTCATTTGGCCACTCCTAACGTTTTTCCAACCATCCTCAACACTAGTTATCATTGCATGTCGTGGTAATCGTTGTTCAGGCATACGTAACACGTGGCTCAACCATTTCAGTCGATGAAAATTTGCAATCTCATCAGGTGATTTACCATCATTCAATAATACTTTGTGTCTAACCTCACTATTTCTTACCTAGTGATCCCAGCAGATGCGTGCAATATTTCTAAGACTGCATATTTAAGGTCTAGTTTCCACGGACTTACACTTGGTAAATGAAACAATAATAATAGTATTGTCTGTAATTAGATCAACCGAACTTGTTCAGTGTTTATGTCTGCACAATACAATATTGATCATGAATCTTTGATTGATTCGAATAAGAAATCAATCGAAATCGAAGGTGTTCTTTTTTTCTTCTTCAATCCTTTATGTATTTTCGCCTATATATAGATACATACTACACATAGTTTATGTGAACATTTTCAATATTTGAAAGATTAATCATATAAATGGTGTGAAATGCCAAGGGGTTTATTTAATCCAATGTATAAATGGAATTATTCATATTCTATCATTGAATTACTTATTATAATAATCATTATTATTTAAACACATAAACATTGATACAACGAAGCACCAAGTAGATATACGTCACACAAGTTACTTGATATGTGTGTGTGTGAGCTACGATACTGCTCCGGTGCCCAAACAGAAACAGGTGGTTTTCTCAGGAAGACCCATCCAGAGTCTTCGATGTAATGGTCTAATCCACAAGGCAATGAAGAGACGTTAGGAGATACAGTCACATGGTAGCCAGTTACCAACTATTGGTTCATACGCCATTTGCTCATTCAGGATCCTGGAGACCATGTTTGAATCAGGGTTTTCCAACTCCTCTGTGTCCTCCATATCAATATCAATCAGATAGAAATATACAAATCAAATAATATTAATTATTTTTCTTAGAGCAAATGAATCTTTGGTAACAATAGAATCAACAATGTTCATCCAGTCTCATTTCTTGTTCGTCAGTTAGATGTATCTAAATTTATGCTGATATTCACATTGGAAATCGAACCCAGAAATCTTTCACTTCAAAAGCCTTACGCGTTCTCCAATGAGTTGTTGGGTTCAAACGTTTACCATATTATTTAATAGATATGATATATTGATATCAGTATTAGTAAGGATTCAAAGTACCCCATAATTAGTATCAAAGATTGAGTTTTGATTAGTTTTCGTTGGTATAAATCCACCCTCTGAGAATTCTCTTGTTATAGACATTTTGATATGGGTATTTTAGAATAAATAGTTTGTGTATAATTGTGACTGAATAGAATGAGACTGCATCAACAAAAGGTTTAATTCAAATAGATCTTGGCAACGGTAAACAATTATCTATATCATACATTGTTAGTGTATAAAAGAAACTACTATTTTCCAATATTACAATTTGTCTAAACAAGAAGTAAATTTATATACACATATATATTTTCAGAAGAGGTTTTGTGAAGATATTTGTAATTTTAATAGTTGAAATCATGATTCAATTGAAGCTAGACCACCACGGAAAACTTGAAAGCACTGGATGACCGTTTCGTCCTAGGATGGGACTCCTCAGCAGTGCGCATTTGCTACCCCTCCCCTCACGAGATTCGAACCCAGGACCTATCAGACAATTCTATACGGTGGGGCAATTTCGTGGATTGGTTGAAGTTAGACATTAACACCGTTGTGAGCCTGCCCAGTGGTCTAATGGTTAAGCGCTCACGCGCGAGACTGAAGGTCTTGTGTTCAATCTATTGAGCATGATTGTGGATACGCACTGCTGAGGAGTCCCACAATACGATGAGATGGCCGTTCAGTGCTTTCAGGTTTTCCATAGTGTTCTATCTTCAATTGACTCATGATTTCAGTCAGTGAAATTTCTAAAATCTTCACAAAACCCCTTCTGATAACTAAGATTAGTTAATGGTATAAACTGTAACATTTTTTCTCTGTTTTTTAAATTATTTATTTCAGAACTATTCACAGAGAAGCGTCTTTATCTACAGCACCAATCAATATTAGATCAGCTTTACCGAATTTGAATTCTGGTTCCAGAGGTTATTATCATCAAACTAATCCATCACAATCAATACCACCGAATAATTATCCTGATAATAGAAATGTAAATACAATAAGAAGTGGACGTTCAACAAATGAATTACCACAAATAGTTGATTCAATGAATGAAGTACAACAGCTTAGATCACAGTTGAATATGTTGTCGAAACTTGTAAGTGTATTGATCATTTGATGAAAAATTAGTTTCAGGAAGGTGTTTGTAAGACAAGTATTAAACTGTGTTTATGAATGAACGAATGAATGAATGAAGATGGTCAGAGCTATGTAAAGTGGTAGCACTAGTAGTCGCAATAGTGTGAATTCGAAAGGATTCTCAAGTTATGGTAAAGTATTTCTTATATTAGGACTTGAAAAGGAACCTGGACTAATTTTGTTCGTCTTGTCAGTCTAATATCTTGATCCCGGAGGTTAAAGGGACAATATTTGAGATCGGTAATACACCATACTTTTGTGAGTAGTAGTAGTAGTTGTTGTTGTTGTTGTACCAGCTAAGAACTTTTTATTTCTCAAGTACTAAAGGTATTCTGTCTTTAGAATCGATTCTCTGAACCAGTCGACATTTAATTAATCAGTTTCTTAAATAGTTAGATGACTTGTCTATTAGTGAATTCAGTATCTTATCGTCCTGTTCGTACTTCACATTGATTGCCAAGATTGTTAGTATTAAGTTACAGAGTGACTATAATAAGATAATCAATTATGATATATTTTTATGAATTGTCTAATCCAAAGGCGCTGGGTTCGAGTCCTAGAGTGAACATCAACTCTGAGATGCAGGTACATTCAGCTGGACAAAACACGCATCCTGGATTCCACTGCTAATCACCATCATCTCTGTTTAGAATGCTAGTGACTTAAGTCAATTTCCAGACTGTTTGTTCAGGATGCACATATGCCAATAAGAAAATGATCAATTACAATCTTAAATAACAATGGGTAGATACAAGTAAAGCAACACCAAGTGAATTCAATGGTTATATGTTAGAGAAAAAATATACACATTGAAAGGTGTGAAGTTCTTTGATTCTATCACTAAAGAGGTTGAGGGACGAGAGAAAAGCTGAAAAGTTGTAAATCGAGCTGCTGATGCCAATTCATTATTGTTTGTAAGTTGTTTGCATTACTTGTGTTATTCCTTCATTTTGCATAGATTGAATCAGATGGTTCTAATCCTGTACGTACTGCTTCAGTATTACGTCAAACAGCGGCAAAAAGTACAGTAAGTCATTGAGATTTAAATTTCATTTCAGTATAGATGTTTAAGTAGATTATTAGATTACATAATTTACATGACGAAATGATCTTTATTAAATAATTATTAAAAGCCTGGAAGTACTGAGCAGCAGTTTCGTCATAGTAGCATGTGTTCATGATCTTACTGTGGACAAAATCTATGATTTTTAGGGTTCACGATGAGGATTTCACTCCTAGACTGCAAACACAAGATAATCTCCTGGAAGAATAGAGAAGAGCTATTACTCACGATTACTCAGTGATTATCGGAAGCCCGGCAAAGGCCGAGAAATTTTCAGTTAATCAGTATATACCACAAATACTTCTAGAAAATTAGTGAATTATCGGTCCAGGATAGAATTGGATGGAGAATGCTAGTGGGCGGCCCATGCCCCTTCATGAGAGTTGATAGGCGTAAGTAAGTAAGCAATGTATCAAAATCTGATTGTATGGTAGCATACTCTGTCATCTAATTAAACATGTCTCCAGATGTTTGGAAATCGCAAAGATCACTTAACAACGTATAACTCAGCTAGTTTTCTGTACGTAAATGAATCTTAAAGTTTCTCGTAC